CAGCTGACCTCTTTTCAATCTATAGCATCTACCCAGACGCTCATGGGCTCTCATATGGAAGGGTCGGACCCTCATATGGAGGGGTCTGGGGTCTCAAATCCCTAGGTTTTGAGGGACCAAGGGCTGTTTGGAGCGTCTGGGTATAGGGTATCAAGAAACAGTGCCACAGGAAAAAGAAGACGTGCTATTCTTCAGGAAAGCAATTTTGGAACGACGCTCGATAGATTTGCCTCTAATTATATCTCGATAGCTCATGTCATGTTCCACTGTTCTTCACTGGCCAGGTGCACAAAGCGACTCCCCCAGAGATTCGAATCGGAATCTCACCAGCTTGGGCTTTAGGATAATCCACCCCACCAAAAAGGCTCAATTGAGGGACTTTCTCGACCATCTCGCCCCTCATAAGGTCACGTGCTCATTTTGCGACCAACCGTGCTAAGAAGGCTGGTATAGGCATGGCAGGCAGCTCACCTCAACCGTGGGCGTTCCGTTCGTCGAAAGGAACGCTCTCCGATGCGGACCGATGCCGCGGAGTGCTCCGCACAGCGCTAGGAGTGCTCCGCGGTGCTTTTCGCATTTTTGCGGAAGGTAGCGCCCGATCGCTCCGTTCGTAGCAATGCCCTTTGCTCCGTTCGTAGCGAACATTGCCCCTAGTAGTATGGCCAGGAGCCCCTAGTAGCGTCCTCGCATTTGCAATCCCAAATCCAAATTCAGCGGGGCTCAAAAGCAGTCAATCTAAATGGACACGATGATTCTTTGCGGGAAAAGCTTGCATAAGCTTTTCAGGTGATGCCGTTCATAGCTTGCACGAGCTTGTGCAAGCTTGCAAGAGAATGGAATCCACCATGGATTGAACCAATTAACTCCTGGTGTTCAGCACGAATCACGTACGGGAACGCAAAAACATGGCAACATGGGAGAAGTATTGGGAGAAGTATTGGCAGTTGCGTCAACACAACATCCCAACATGCGAGAGTCTTAGTGTAAAACCAGATTCGCCGTCCGGTTTTGGAGCTTCGGCTCAAGCAGCGAAAAAGCCGTTGAATTCGGCTCTTGAAGAGCTTACGGACCTTTTCGCTTCGAGAGTTGGGCGACTGGCAGCGTTGGGCGATTGACCTCTTCAGGTGGATCGACCGATGGAGCACGGCTTTTCGCCCAGTGGGCCTCCCCACCCGCCTTTGCGGCCTCACCTGGTTTCAACCCCGTCAGGACTTGCGCCGAAGTCGCGTGTCTTCGTTCTGAGAACAAGCCGCTATGTCCAGCAAATCGCCACAGAAACACCTAAACATCCTAATTGCTAAGAAATGTTGGATGTTGGAAGTTCCAAGTATGACCTTGTTGGTCTAGTTAGGTCTTGCAACCCGATTCAACCACAGCAGCTGGCACATCAGCTAGTAGGAATTCAAACCAAACAGAATGAAACCTTTGCTCAATGAAGCTCGCAAGCGCAGCCAAGGATGCTTATGGATGCGTGATGCGGATGTCAGAAATCGCCAAACTCCTAGCGTGGCTTCTGGACATAGACCAACTCCCTGAAAAATGCCCTTTGTGGACGGAGGATGCAAAACCTTAGAACATGGCAATAATGGCAATTGTATGCTATTGACACGATCTGATCGAATATATGTCGTATATTGATCCTCTGGCTTGGAGACCAAACGTGAGATAGCAGTTATTGCTCTCCTGGGTGAAAACGGTAGTAGAAGCTTGCCTTGGTGCCAAGTCGCCGACTCCGAACGGTGGGCGCTGTCACATCGACATCACTGGCTTGGGCAGAAACTGCACGTCTGCAGGTCTACCAAACGCCAACGAACATGGCGGTCGACCGATGGTCGACACCCTGGCGAGCGAAAATGGAGCGAGCGCAGGCTTCCTTCGAGTGGAAGGCTGTCGGCGCAGCAAAGAAGGGTCTTGGAAGATCTGGAAGGGTGGTGAGAAACTCGTAGCTTCTTGTTGCTAATAGCTTCTTAATTACTAGTATGGCCAGGAGCCCCTAGTAGCTTTTTTGCAAATTTCAAAAGTATATGATCTAAATTACATAGATTTGCCAGGCAAAGTGATTGACTTCTGCTGAAACGCAAATCTCCCAATGAACACATCTTGGTCTGTGCAGCATGTGGCCGCATCCGATGGCAGGAAAATGGCAGTACTCAGAAAAGCATGTTGCGACATTGAAGTTCCAATGCACCGGGCAACATAGCTAGAGAGCCGGTGGCAGTGCGCCATTGCTAACGAAACGGGGTGGAGCGTGCCTTGCATTGTACACAATGGCAAGCTCTTCATGCGCTGCTTACAATGTTTGACGCGGAACTTGTTGCCAGGCTGCAAACTGACTGGATTCTGCTGGAACTGCAAATGTCTCAAACATCTTGGTCTGAGCAGCATCTGGCCCCCGACTGCGAGAACACGATTGCGCGTGAAGAAGAACTTGATACGACCTGGATCACAGGTTCTTTCTACTGGCGTTGTGACACAGCTTGCGACATAGCTGGAGCCGATGGCATTGGCGAACTGCTACCGTTGGGTTTCCTTTAGCAACGTAAGCCTCTTGCTGCCGTGATGTGGTGCAATTTATTGTAGCAAAAATATGTGGAAATCTATGCCAAACTCCGTTTTGGCTGGCTGGCTTCTGCTGGAAGGGTTGGTATCTCAAAACCCATCTTGGTCTGGAAATCAAGTGGCCCCAGCCAACAGCAGGAAGACAGTAACACTCAGAAAATATTTGATGAGATTACGACTTGGACTTCTTGCGACATTGAAGTTCCAATGCACCTGGCGACATAGCTATAGAGCCGATGGCAATGCATTGCTAACAGAACAGGGTGGAGTGTGCCTTGCATCGTAGGGTATGGCAAGCTTTTTATGCGCTGCTTACAATGTTTGACGTGGAACTCTTTGCTAGGCTGCAAACTGAATAGGCTCCCCTGGAGTTGCAAATGAAGTAGTACAAAACATATCTGAGCACGTGACTGCAATGATATAACTCTTTGATAAGACCTTGTAGCTCTTGCAACATGCCTGTCAATGTAGCTAGGGCTGGAGGCAACAGGCACGGGCTCGTATCTACCTCTACCCGTTCTTTTATCGAAAGTAATGAACAGTGCACTCTGTCTGCCTTGATGCGCCGCAATAATCTGCAATATGTGCTTAACCTTCGGCAAACTCCTGTGTGACTGGCGGGCTTCTGCTGAAATACAAGTGTCTCAATACACATTGTGGTCTGTGTTCCATCCGAGCAGCAATCAGAAAAGTATTTCAGTAGCTTTACAAGTTCAAGGAAGACTAATATATAAGGTAGGAAACCTTGTGAGTCTTGTATGGCGCTGCAACATGCCTGTCATCATAGCCGACGGCATTGCACTCTATTCCTGCCTAAGTTCTTCAATGTTGCCTACTTTGCCTGAAACAAGTGAGATTTTGCATGAACTGGTGAATGTTGCTTTTGTTCCATTTTTGGTGTTCTTATGTTTTCTTCAAGCTGGCTTGTTGGAGTTCGTCAAACATAAGTCGACTTTCTGGAATCTGAGGTATATGCGACGCTACCGTCCGTAAACTGAGAACGAGTGCCTGTGGATGTTTGATTCAACAAAAGACTGAGGTTCATTGAAGGCTAAACGGAGGGTGTGTGGAGAAAGGGGGTCAGCAAAAATCGCTTATACGAAGTTAGTGCATCAAAAATACCTTCCACGAAGTTCTGCGAAGGTTTCTGGGATTTCGTTGCAGTCAGTTCTCCTACTGGCCCACCATTCCACGAACTGTCCACGAACAGCCTTGGGTTCTACGAAGGTCACGCGCCTTCCACGACGTTAGTAGAATAGGTTTTTGCAAAACCCTTTGAGTGCACTACCCTTCCGTTTGCCTCTGATTCATGGGGGGGTGAAACTTTGTGTTGTTCTTTCCCACCGCGCCATTCAACCGCAGTATATGGACCAGGGCGGCCAGAATTACGAAGACAACATCCTTCTCCAGCAAGCGAGGTAGCTTCCCGCGACACAAGTACATCACATAGCCCTTTTTTCAGGCCGAACCTTTAGCAAACATCTCTCTATACGCAGGACGCTGCGCTGGTGCCGACCAGTGCAGAGACTCTGCAACCGACCGGTACGAGGCTTCTTTTCCGGGCGTGTCCGGTGACTCTGCAACAGGTCGACCTGTTCCGGTGTATGTGTTTCTTCGAGGAAACGATCAAAGAATTACCAACGTCGTTTCGATTTGGAGCCATTGTGAGCAACCCTTGAAGCGTTTTTTTATGTTATTTGTTTTTACGGTGTGATCAAATACTGCAGAACAGTCTGGAAACAGTGCGGCCATTGGAAGCTCCAGGTGATCTTCTGCGCAAGTGTGCGGCCTGCCTCCACGACGAACTATGTATTGGTCGGAACTGCTTAATTGCAAAGGCTGGCCAAAGGAGATTGTGCAAGCCACTACATTCTCAGAGGGTATGGGGTATGTGGATCCATATAGGGCTTGATGATTGGCCGAACATGGGATTCTTACAAAGTCCCGATGTTGAGCTCGGCCGATCACAATTTCTTGCACATCTAATGGCTCACCTGTGTTCCAAGCCCAGAATCCCTCGCTTACTTGGGAACATCCAACAAAGGCAAACCACTGAGGCTCGGTGCAATCAAAACAACTTCTGACTCAAAATTAATATGCAGGACATGCATCCTGGATCAAAACCATCTTCGGCCCGACAGCATTTGCACGCATGAAATCTACGAACCATTGCTGAAATGACAGCTGTGCAAAAAAGACTGCGGTTGCTGAACATCTAATCTAGCAGGAATTGGAGGATTGCTTTCACATTTCATGAAAAGAAACTGCTCAGGTGGAGTCAAGTTCCCTTGGACCTTCATTGGATCACATACCTGAGGCGGAAAACATGAAATGCATTTGATCAAACACATGAACTTGGCAAATGAAGTCTAGGCATGTCTCAGTTGACCGTCCTAATTTCACAACCGTCCTCGACGGTGTCCTACCTCGAGGTAGAAGCTTCAGAGACCTCACGTTGCTTCTGTGTGGGTGGTTACAATTTTGTATACCAATGTATTGAAAAAAAGACCTGCTGAACAAATGCTATGGCCCATCACTGACAAGACATTTGTGTCTGGACTTGATGGATGAAACACAAAAAAGTGGGGGAACCGGGTGAAGTCCGGGTAAGCATGAGAACACTTAAGTATCGCTGAAAGGACAGAACTTGGTGATAGACTAGCACTCCTGCCAACACAAACATGTTGGGTGGCTGGATGGATGGTCAGAATGAACATGTGAAACTCTTCAAATGGAAACTGACACCCTTTTGTTGGGCAGCGGCAGTGGCTTCTAGTCGAACAATTGAACATAAAGCTATTTCCGGACATCAAGTAGGTATTATATTAATGGATATTTGTTGGCAAGCAATCGAATCCTTGGCAAACTGATGCATTGTCCAATAAATATGAACCTTGTTTCTGTGGGGGTTATCCTAAATGACTGAAAAGAAAATCATCTATATAATGTTACATGACATAACTCTCTTTTCCTGTGCAAAAACCTATACCCTCACGTGCATCTGCCAAAAAAAACAAAAACAAACCCTTCCGCACCTGGTAGCACCGCCGGAAGGATCCTTTGACGCCACACATCCACAGGCAGCGCCGCCACTGGGCGGCGCGATTGGCGTAAAGCCACGAGCAAAAGGAAGGTCACTTGCCTTGCAAAGACTGAGACGTTCGACGGATCTAACTGCATATACCTGGACCCTCCTGTCTAGTGCGTAGTCCAGCCAGGACACCCATTGGATGGACCTGGTATATTGGCATAGATGTTTTCATCGACAGATGCCGTCGGGGGACTGATTCTGGACCTGTTTTCGTCGTTGAAAGTATCGAAGTATGATGTCTATGGGATTGGAAGATGTTGGATGTTGTTGAACCATGGCAGTCTGGGGGAGTCTGGGATAGGAAGTGGGAGAGTACACACAAGCGCTGCATGCTTGAGGAATGTAAGTTTCAACAAAAGAAGTTGCCCGAAAAGCATACTTTGTGCCACGGGGTGCGCATACAATTCATTGCCTTACTGCGAGCCACCGTGGTGCCACCAGCAGAAGCCAGGAATGTTGTCGATTGATACGGTATGATAGGATGTCGAAGCTACTAGTAGCGATGTCCTCCACCCTAGCAGCAAGGGCCTCCAACCTAGTAGCTTCTTGTTACTACAGTAGTAATGGCCTCCAACCTAATAGCGATGGCCTCCACCTATATATTAGTAGCTTCTTGTTACTAGTTCGGATGTCTTCTGTATCCAATCGCACTTTAGAAGCCACACGCCAGGATGAACCGGATACCAAAGGTATGTGTCTGCTGGCATCCAACGCATGTGTTGGCTTGTTAGATTTTGTTATTGTAACTGAGAAGTACAAAACAAACAGCCTCAGCATTCCGCACAGTTTTTCCTAAATGCATCGCTTTCGCAAAGAAAAAAAGCACTTATAGCATCTGGCGTTCTCCCTCGAAGTGATGCCACGCCTCTGCCACTCCTCAAAGCTGGAGATCAAAATGCCTCCGAACACTCGGGTCAAAGCGCGCGGGGAGTGCTCCAAAAAGGTCGACATCCGCCAGCATCAAAGCAATGACCGAACATCCAACATCCAGCGCAATCCAACATGGGTGCGTAGCTGAACATGGGAGAACTGAACCGAACCTGCGAGGTGCCCGCCTTCATCGAAGGCCAACACCAAGCGTGGCACCGCTCGCAGTGCTGTGCTCAGACGGACGTGGCACTGGCCATAGCCATCTTGGACCTGGGTGGGAAAAGGAACCAGCAGGCCTCAAAATACCTCACCTCATCAAAGCAATGAACATGAATCACATGGAATCATATTGAATCATTTAATGGTTTATCATGTGGATGGTAGATGAACTGGATTTAAACCGTTTTTGGACTCTTCACATGCACCTCACAAGATCTGGAAAGGTGAGGTCGATCTGTGCCCGTAAAAAAAACGGTGCGAAGCCACGGTTGACCCAGCGGGGAGCACAGAACACAAGGATATACGAGGATTGAACATGATTGAACATGATGATTGAATCACGTTAAATCCGGGGCCCAAAATGAATCATTCCAAGTCACCACCAGTTACTTCTAGTCTATTTCATCTTGTGCTTACAAACCCAAACAACCAAATATTCCTTATTTTCCTTCAAGGTTCGTCATATGGCTGCGAGTCATGACACCATCAAAAAACACAAAACACTTAACTTAACCGATGTTCCCGTATACCGACCGCCGGGTGGAGAGCAGGGCACTCTCCATGCTGGTGGATCGTTGCACACTCCGACTGAACCCGTGGGCGCCGTCCCAGTCGCTGAGATGGAACGGCTCCAGTGATGCCTTAAGGCCTCTCTCAAAAGGTGCGGCTCCTGCGAGACGCCCATCGGAAGACCCGGTACCCGAGGTCTGGACGCGGGTACCCCAAACATACCTAGATCCAGGTATGGAGGCCATCGCGATCATAGGTTGGAGGCCTCAAACCCTGGAACCGGAGGGGTCTGGGGTCGAACATGGTCGAATCAAATCCCAAAGGTTTTTTGGGGGACCAACAAGGATTGTGTCTGGGGGCGGTCTTTCTTCCTTGTGTGCCTAGAACCCCCACAAAGACCATGGACATCCATGGACCATAAAATATGGGCGGTTGGTGATCCAAAAATAGCGGTCTGTCAGGCTCTAGGTGAATGTATGTGGGTTACTATGTGACATTGTGGGTTACTCTGTAAGGTCGGTAAGGTGTGGTATAGGTACTTTTGGATCTGTCACGTTCCAAGGATGTTCTTGAGGCAAATGTGCAGATTTATGGTTCTTTTTCTGCACATCTTCCGTCAAGTATATCATTTGGATCGATTGTCGAAACCAATTTAATTTCTTCTCCGGACACCCCACTTTCTGATAATGTTTGGGGTATCCACATGTGTCGGAGAGTTTTTGGTGTGTGAACACCCTAACAGAATCCATTGGGTGACCCTTTTTGCAGCAAAAACAACATCCAGAATTTGCGTGCATTTGACCCATAACTAACATCTCCAAATCGCCCCGCGATCTTCTTCGCAACAACCCTTCCAAAGTGTCACAGTGGTATATAAATAGTATGTTTCAACTTGGGACCCGGTAGAGGTTACAACCCAAAAACCATTGAACAGGCCACAAAAGTAACGCCGTGTTGTATGTTGGTATATTAATATATATATATACACCATCGCCAGAGCCCAGTGGGGATACTAAGAAAAGAACCCATCGGATTCAGCCTGGGCAGGGCGCCATGGCAAGCTCTCGGCATTCTCCGGAGCGCAGAGCGGTGCCACGGACACCGACGGGTGCCCTGGTGCGTCTGCGGTGCGTCTGCGGGAGTGCACTGGTTCAAGACGAAAAGGTGTACTGATTCCCCCAAGACAAAAATATAGCCTGTTTAATATGGTGTCATCTGACCAACATAAATGCTACATCCCTACCCAACGCCAACCCGCTCTGAAAGAAAATGAGCTATAAGGCTATAGTGTTCAACACCGGGTCAAGGTACGGGACCGGCCAGGATTCGGTCACAAGCTCGAGGGGAGAATCCGCCTTTTCGGAGATACCGAACAAAAACCACGAGACGTTTCTCTGGAAAGACAAAGGCATTGTATATATTGACTCAGATTGACCAGACCTATTCCACTGCGGCTTGGGGTTGAGTGGGGAAAAGAAATTCCAGCATTGGTTCGAACGTTGTCCGCATGGCTATCCATGGTTATCAATTTTTCCTGGGTAGGGTAAGATAGGCAAGAAAGCAAAAATGGGTGCTTCCAGGATTGTCGCGCCAAAATGCTTTGGGTCTCGAGCTCTACTAAGTAGTGAGACTTTCCGGATTTGGTTGAATGTGCATGTGTTAAATCGTCACTCCATGTATAGTTGATGATAGTTGACATTGGAGTGCTTGAAAAGGGATCCATTTCCGGCATCTTTGGGATCAAACATCGAGGACCGTCGATGACCGTCGAGGACCTTCGTTCGGCCCATTTCGGCAGACTGGCAGGGATCAAGTAGCGATGCACTTGTTACTGGCAGCTTCTTGTTACTACTAGTAAGGCACTTGTTACTACTAGCGCGGCACTTGTTACTAGTAGCGATGCACTTGTTACTGGCAGCTTCTAGATAGTAATGCCAGGAGCTACGTTCGTAGCTTCTTAAGATATGGCGGTGGCCTCCAACCTACGTACTAGCGATGGCCTCCACCGTGCGTCGCTTCTTGTTACTGCCAAGCTCCGCATCGTGAACCACCGGAGCGTCCGGACGGCGAGGGCGGCCCCGGAGCGACTGGCCTGGCAGCAACGCCACCAGGTGCGAGTCGCGCTCCTTCGTGCAGCTGGCCACGTCCATCCCGAGCCGTGCCCAACGCCTGGAGATGTTGGCGTTGGGCAGCAGAACCAAAAGAGCCAATGAAGACGGCGGGACTGCCGAACCAACGGATGGTTTTGGGGCGAACCAACGGAGGTGCCCTGGTCACATTCTACTCCTTGGATGAGACTCAAAACATCTAAAGACAAATTTGATGTGGAACTGCTGGAGGAGACGAGGATGTCCGCTCTGGAGATCTGCTGAAGAAGTCAGCACCAGGTGAAATCACAAGTACAGACTTCAACCCTTCAAAAAGGATCCGTTGTTTGACACAACAGCAAGTCTGGAGTGAATTCTCATCTCTTGGTGTCTTGAGTGACAGAACCCGTTTGTTTGAGCTTTCTTGCGTTGAATCATGTTTAAGATTGTGTAATCATATCACCGCGTTTGCAAGTGGCAAAAGCTGACAGGTGCAGGGGAAGAGGATTTGACCGTCACTTGGAAAAGCTGCTCCTTCGCTGTCTGCCACTGCTGACCCAACACTTGAGAAACCAAAACTTGGCACTTGGCTCAGTCTTCCTTCACTTGGCCCATCAGACTGACCGGAGCTGAAGTTCGAGACCAACTGTCTGCGTCCGCTCGGCTGGAATTTCCGGAGCGCCGAACTTCAGGTCTGTCGATCTGTGTACTTCATAGGGAAATCCCTCCGCCCTATGGGTACGGTACACTCGTCTATGTCCGTCTTCTGCCAAAAACGCCTGGGAAGTCTCTCCCTATTTGAGTTACACAACAGAAACGCCAGCTTCCCTTTGGCGTCTTCAAGGGATCGCCTTGAAGGACCTACAGGAGGCTCATGTAGCTTTTGGATTACAAGTAGAGGTCCAGTGGAGTGACCAACTGGTCGGCCTTTCGAAGTGACTTGCAGGTTGCATCCAAATGCAGCCGAATAAATGGTTCGCTTGCAGGTTCATCATCCAACACCAAGAGAATCACCTCATTGTCTCATATGCACTCTCATGTGCATCTATGTATAACTTGATCACATTGTAGATATATCGTGTGTTTCTTTCGTGTGACATCATACAATATGATCAAATATGTATAATGTTCTATGCATGTTCTGCCAAATCTCTGCCACCTTCTGTGTCTAGGCGCAACATCATCACTCCAAAAGTCCAGAAGGACCACATTTCACCCCCTTCCACCGGAAATGGGCTGTGTACCGTGGTAATTCCAACAACATCCAACAACCATTATTGTATGACGTTGTTATTTATACTTATTGACGTTTTCTAAATGGTCTTTACATGTCTTTACCAAACAACCATTGTTTTACATTGTTTTACCACGGATTTGGCACAACACCATATTCTACCATTCACTCAAATGGTCCAACTGAAGGCTAGGGTATAGGTCTGCATCCAGTGGCCCAACGCACCCCGAGCACCGCTTTTCACACGTCCAACTCGAGCACCGCGAGCGCTGGCGCCTCCCTCGCTCGTCCATCTGAGTGCCCCAAGGCTTCCAATGCACGGCCTAGCAGGGCAGGTTCCCCCTATACAGGCCTAGCGATGGGCACCAACCTAAGAGCGATGGCCAATGGCCTCCACCCTAGTAGCGATGAACGTGCAACTGTGTGGTGCGCCTCACCTCACCTGAAAAAGGTGAGACATGAGACGGTTCCGAAACGGAGGGACCTTTTGGGAGGGTTTGACACCAGGTGGGACCTTGGTCTGATTTCACATCATCATCCGAACGAAAGGGGCCATGCCATTCACCTCGATCCCAGGGAGTGTATGTCGGAGGTGATCTTTGTCCTTTTCGCCAATCTTGGTGAAATCAATATGCTAGGAGCAAGAAGCTACTAGCAGCTCCTCGCATTACTGCTAGGAGCAAGGACGCTACTAGGAGCAAAGGGCATCGCTGTTGACCTCCTTGTTTGGACAGTGTTTGGCCCATTGTCCACTTAATTTCTCGATGCGTCCTCTCAGCGGCGTCCTCTCAAAGGAACTCATTTTTAGAGTCAGCATCAGGTGAGATAGGACAAGTTCCTCCTGGAACCCACAACAAGCAGAAACAAATGGTTCGTTATAATATGGCAATTGAGATGTTCTTTGTGATTGTTTGGGTTTCCTGGTTTTATTATATACTCATGAGTGTTCAGAGAGCACAGAACACAAGGATCCGGATTTGATCCTCTTTCGTACGAAGATCAATGAACATCCGAGAATATGGGGGAGCACAGCTCAAAGCCTGGGTACAAAAACTTGCATATGAATGATATTATATATATATATATATGAAGCCTCATCAAACAAATCGATCCCAGTCGCAATACCGCACCAGAACCGCGACAACACACTGGAGCCCTTTTCGAGCCGCGAACCACTGGCGGCCTGCGTCTCAAAGTCCACATGCCCTCCACCGGCGGAAGGACGTGGAGAGACATGCGGTCTTCGTCGATTGGTTGGGAGATCTGCGGAGTGCCTCCCCTGCTGGGGTGGCTTCGATACGAAATGCTTGATATGTTAATTGCTTATGATTGGTGTGCAAATTGGTTTAATCACTTGAATCCAAGAACCCCGATGAATCCACAGCCTCTCAGAGGGTTTTGGTGGTGCTCACCTCATGATGCTACCAACCTCGAACCAGGGGGAGTCCGGTGCCGTTCCCGTCGACGCGGATGTCCGTGATGAGAAGTGATGTTGGCCGGTTGGCCTTTTGGGAAGATTGGGCCTCTCAGTTTGGTCCAAAACTGCTTTCTTTGTGGGCAAGTTAGAATGTATCGATTTAATTGAAATGGTCCAAAACTTTGGTGGAGCATGATATGTGGTGATACACCTTAAAAGACATGTTTCTATCAGTCAAAGGATCACTGGAACATGATGTGCTTTTCAGTCCAGAGTGGATCACACTCTTCACATTAGCTGACAGGGAGTTGTATCCATACCGAGCATACCCATGAAACCTCCCTTGAACTATCAGAACGGTCAACCGACAAATATAGAGAACTGCAGCTTCAGAAAGATTAAGCTACAACATGCTACAACTACACGTGCTTCTTTGGTCATTTGTTGAAGGCCTTGGCCACACACTCCGCTGGACCAGACCATATGGAAACACCTTGAGCACTGACCCCACTGAATCGCGAGTACCTTGAGCACTGTGCCTTCCCAAGCATCGTGCATGAGCCGCTCATAGCCGCCAAAGCCGCCGCCCTCGCCACCGTCGATGAAGCAGCCGCCCAGGATCAGGATGGGGACCTTAACGGATCCAACGGGTGGGAAGGCAGATTGGAGGCTATTAGCTTGGAGGCCATTGCTATTAGAAGAAAGTTTTCCAAGGACCGGTCGTAAGTCGCCTGGGCCGAAGAAAGACCACGACACCCCCCTTGCATGAGGTCCGACTGCAAAAAGCAAGAGAGGACCCAGTGAAAGAGGTCCTTGATGTAGGGATCAGACTCCCCAAAGAGAGCAAAAGATTATGGTACGGTCCGGTACGGTTTTCGGTTGCCCTTGCTACACTTTGCTACGCTACGCATTGCTACACATGATGTTCCATGTGGATGAAGGTTCATACATCTGGAATATGCCAACTATCCAATGCTTGGGATTGTTTTGGTCTACTCTTGGAAAGGTTGCTTGTGCCAAATCAGCTGCTGGGGTCGTTTTTGGAGGGGCCCAAGTAGCTGAACTGGTGATGCGAACGTGCACAAAAGGAAACCCTTCTGCTTGTCCTCGACGCATGGTTTTGTGTAATAAGGAAATCCCTGGCCCACTGGGTTTTGCTTGGAGATCCTCAACAAATGGGTCTTTGATGGTTTTGGATGGTTTGGGTCTATTTTCCTTCCCGTCTTTGGGAGCTCCTCCAGATTTGAATACACACATGACGACTGCGACTGCGGATGAGACTGCTCAAAGTCTCCGCTAGAATTGGATTTAAATGGAACTCACTCCTTTGGAGGTCCTAGCTGAGTGCTCCAATGCTCACATAAAACCAATTTCAGTTTGCATCTGAATCGATGCAAATAAATACATCCTACGTCCAACCGGTAAAATTCCCGAAAGTGTTCAAGGGTCAATCTTGATCGACTTTGCACAAAGTCAGCCCACTGGGACTGCTGGGTGATGTTTCTTGCTTCTCCTCCCATCCTCGCACGCCCGAGCACTGCGCCGTCGCCCCTGTGCTGGCCCACCTGACAAGGCGAAGCGCGTCTTCTCCGTGAAAACACCACGAGGATCGGAGGTTCCGAGGATTCGGGGCCGAGAAGAGGACTTGGCCAAGCATCGGACCAGTCAACTCAGGTATCTGTTGGGAGTCATTCCCTTTCCCACGAGTCGCAGGGACCTGTTGGGATCCAGTGGTCGGGGGCATGTATAGAGTGTATTTGTTGCGTGTATATAGTGTGTGTGTTCCCATGTTTTGCATGATTCTATATACATGCTCATCACTCTATATGCATGATTAGTGTCACCCCAGTTGTCCCCTAATGATTGCACAAAAGCACAATTTGAGCATGGCTTTGGAAGTAGCTACTAGGAACAAGTGCATCGCTTCTAGCAACAAGTGCCTTACTAGTAGTAACAAGAAGCTATTAGAAACAACAATTAGTAATTAGAATTAGAATCAACTAAAATCAATTAGCTACTAGGAACAAATTAACTGCTGGACTCCGGTGGTGAGTGGGACATTTTTTGGCTCGTGGCGACCTAAACAACAATACAACCCATCAATTAATTAAGGCCTGCACAAACATCGCAAACAATGTTATCATATTGTGTTAATGTTGTTGAATTTGTTATTCTTCATGCAAGCATTGCATCACAAGAAACCCAATCATAGCCCATCAATCATAACCCATCATAAAAGCCTACTATCCAAACGGCCAAACGACCCCGCGGCCAAAGAAGTAGGGAACACCTGGCATGAAAAACAACAGCATGCTTTTCAGCTGTGTTCGTCAACACCTCAGGACCTTCCAAGTGACCAAACTTGACTTCTCTGTGGCTTTTCAGTCACTTAGTCGTCCCTAAAGGGGTCACTTGACTGAATGACACTCCAGTTCGAGGTCTCGCACCACCACCACCACCACCACCACGACCACGACGACGACTACTACTACTACTACTACTACTACTACTCCTACTCCTGCTCCTGCTCCTGCTCCTGCTCCTACTACTACTACTACTACTACTCCTACTCCTACTCCTACTCCTACTCCTGCTCCTACTACTACTACTACCACTACTACTACTACTAATACCACTCCTACTAATATTACTCCTCCTACTACTACTATTACTACTACTAATACTACTCATACTAATATGACTCCTCCTACTACTGCTGCTGCTGCTACTGCTACTCCTACTACTACTACTACCACCTACTACCTACTACCTCCTACCTGCTACCTGCTACCTGCTACCTGCTACCTACTACCTACCTCCTACCTCCTACTACCTACTCCCTACTCCCTACTCCTACTGCCTACTGCCTCTGCCTACTCCCTACTCCCTACTCCCTACTCACTACCACCTACTACCTACTTACTACTTACTACTAACTTACTACTTACTACTAACTTACTACTTTCTACTTACCACTTACTACTTCTACTACAACAACTACTACTACTACTACCTACTACCTACTACTACCAACTACCTACTACCTACTACTACTACTACTACTACTGCTGCTGCTACTACTACTACTACTACTACTACTACTACTACTACTACTACTACT